GCAAATCAAACTAAATTATTTTATTTGTTTTCTCTTGCATATGAGGAAACTATTTTTGGACTTTAGTTTGTTTGTATCCCAAATTTTGTAAATACTTAATTAATTAAAAAACAGTAACTTTGCCCTGACTACATTAAATGATTGATTATCATTAATTATTCTTTTTATCTGGACTGAAGAAATTATTAATTCAAGGTAACGATTATTTCAAATAAATTATGTAATCTTAATCCAGATAGTCATGATTTTCCCTTAGAATCTATTGGTGACGTTTGACATTTAACATTCAAAGATATTTAGTTACTGTTGACTATTTCTCACAACTTTAATAATAAAGTACCTTCGTTCCTAAACAATAGCAACATTAAAATAATTTGGAGACATCTAACACGATTTCCTTTTAAGTTAATGAGAAAATTGACCCATTGTAAACGTTTTTTATGATGGGATTGTTTCTTGTAACAAAGAAAACTTATTTAATCTCAGTTAGTCAGAAATTGGGATAATTTTTTTCTAAGTTTGAAATAAATATGTATATTTACTTTTCTTTCATACGCAGATTGATATTGACACTTGGCACTTTTCCAAATGCACTATTCTAACTTTTTATGGCAGAAATAACATCTTTATCTGTCTCACCAATTTTTAAATACTCTTTTGTTTTCCCTTCGATGTCTTACCATAGTATTACGACTTTATCAAGAATCTACAGTAAAGTTTTTAACCCAACACCAAATCCAGATGAATATCTGTGTTTGAGTACCACCCTACAACTTTCAGATAATAAATTAGCTTCAAATTACCCCGAGGAATCTGGTTGCACAATATCCTGTCTCGAATATCTACTAAATGAAGCTTCTTCCGTTTCAGGCTAGCTTTAACATAGATATCAGTTAGAAATATGTAATGTGATAGTTCTCACAGAAATAGATAAGATTATAGTATGTGTGTGAAATATTAAACTATTTAAATGTAATGGTATAATCAAGGAAATCAGGAAAAGGATTTTCCATTAATCGAAAATAGAGTATACCAAATAATGAAATCGTAAGTTTATAGGAGTATAATCGGGAAATAGTTTTTCGCTTTCAATTTTCACTGAAATGAGATATAAGCTTCGTAAAAAATTAAATAACAATGTTATAAATTAATTAAGTTATTCTTAATCGACGATCAGTATTTCATTAATGAATCATGAACTCATCTTCTTGGTGTCTGTGTTATGTCTTCAGAATTAAAAAACAATAATACTGTCAGGAAGAACAGTTTTTTTTTTGCTACCACACAGTGAGAACAATCGAAAGTCTTGCTTTTAAAACTGAAAATACTCGTATCGTTTTCAATTTTTTTCCCTAAATCAACCTTAAATGACATGGAAAAAGTATTTTATTCGATTCCAATAACTTCTAAAATTTATTCTCTTGCATTTATTTACTGAAAGACATTAAAGTTAATGGCAAAATGATCTGAAACTTTTTCTTTTTGTCCACTTATCTATCTAATCCAATTTCCCAAATTCTAGTACCACCAAAATGATCTATTAAAAGGAAATTATTTGTTTGATATTTAAGCGTGTTTATCTTTAAATATCGTGTTAGAATTTGCATTTACGTTTCACAATTTTTTTCTTGCCATCATCACTTAATAGGAACCCACATTTAACGTATGCATATACATTTTTTTTAACAGAGAATCGGCTAGCTCTAATTTCAATTCTGGAACCTCTCACGAGCAACTGACTTCTGCCACTAGTTGACAAGAGACAAACGGCATTCGACTTCCTGTTGTAAATAGCGTAAACTGTCCCAAGCCGATTCTCGGTATCTTCCTAACGTGCTGAAATATGTATTATTTACCGAGTTAATTGGTAAAGTTGTCAGAGAAAAAAATGTAACAGTCTGCCGAAAATAGTAAAATTAAACAGTTGAACTAGTTTTATTTTTCTTTTCTGTTAACAGATCTCTGGCTGTTTATCCACGACACATGTGGTTCAGCGTCGCCGTTGTTAGGCCCCTTTTTAAAAACAAATTTGACTAACCTTAAATAAATAGCCTGACAGACATGACAAATTGTTGTTCTTTGTAATTATAATACTCTAGATGGGTATCTACTGAATTAGTCAATGTATTTACGCACGACGTCCTGAGAATTGAAGGAAAACTAAAGGAAACTGACAATAAATGATAATCACTTTATTGAAATTAAGTACTTACATAGAGATAATTTTTTAATAACCTATTTTGTTGACAGAGTTTACAAGAGTTGACCAAGACATATTAGAATTTTTTATTTCATAAATTACATTTTTAGAACAAGATAATAAATTGTGACAGATAAAAATAAAGGTAATTAACAGTGTATTAACTACAATTGTGTTTTTTAATATTAAATAGATCTATTATTAGCTGTTTACTTCAGGTAGTATTTGAAAATATTCGTGTATCCAAATTAGTTATAATATACTTGGTTAGTGCAACTTTCTCGGTTTCGAAAATACAATATTTCGAATTTTCACCACCAAGAACGGCGGTGACAACATTTTTAACAGTAAGGCGATGTTTCGCATTGTACTAGCTATGTCCTGTCCAAATGTGGTTAGTGCAACTCTCTCGGTTTCGAAAATACAATACCTATGTAGTTTTCAGCCACGAAAATTGAATAATTCCAAATATTTCGAATTTTCACCACCAAGAACGGCGGTGACAGCATTTTTAACATTAAGGCGATGTTTCGCATTGTATTAACTATGTCCTGTTCAAATGTGGTTAGTGTAACTCTCTTGGTTTCGAAAATACAATACCTATATATGTTTTCGGCCACGAAAATTGAATAATTCCAAATATTTCGAATTTTTTGGATTTTTTATATGCTGTTGAGTACTTGCTATAAACATATTTATATAAAACATAATTTTTATATCCTCTTTAGACATATACATACAGTTCATACTAGATTAAATACGAAACAACAAAATATAATGTTTTTTAGTTTCTTTGAAATTTTTTAACAAAAAATATTTAAATAGTTAAAAAATTAATAAGTATCTATATCAAATAATATTACACACTGGCAATTGTTTAATTTGTTGTGTTACACTGTATAAACAACTTAACCAATTAATTTCATTAGACAAATCAATATACTCTTCATGAATTTTATTATCTAAACAGAGATGTCTGGAGTACTTTATAATGAAGACATGGATTGTCTCTAATAGATTTTATTAGGATCATAAATAACCACGACACTTAAGTTGTTTGAAATGTTAGTAGTAGGTTTTGTGTTTCGTGCCAATGGTAACTGAAACCGAAAAGAAAAACACTTTTTTCGCTTATAACGATCACGTTGCTTTCACAATTTGAATCAAATATAACACTTTTGTAAATTTTTAACTTTAAACTAACACAACTATAGAACACAACATTTAAGCTGTGCAATTTATGATAATAAACGAAGAATGTTAAGTGAAATATACACGGTGTTCCATGTAAAGGTTAATATCACAGTTCTCTTTGATAAGTTGCCCTTGGCAATAAGTGATACAGGTATATTTGAACTCTTTTTGTTAATTTTTACCAAAAAACACCCTCTAAAAGTTTGGCAGTAGAATCAAGGGACACTCTGTACATACAATTTATGTACTTATATAATTGAAAGTAAGTGTACATCTGGAGCCAAAGAAAAAACGTATCAAAAAGAAACAACTTTTTTCGATAAATTTAGAAATGAGTAAATTATTATGAATGATAGTAATAAAATAATAAAAAAACAAGTTAGTCAAAAAAATTGAATTTTTAAGCTTGTTCCCAATTAGAGTCTAAAAAAGTGATTCAGAGAAAGGGAACTATTAACGCATGCATTAATCACAATTATTTAGTATATTTTCTTTGCTGAAAGCAGGAAATGTACATTTTCTGATGTTTACATCTTCTCCACGATCTTTCATTGCGAAAAATTAAAGGAAGTTCCTCCTACTTGTTCTGTAATGGTCTTACTAAAAGTACGATTTCTTGTCAATAAAACGCCAGAAGATAAATGGGCTGCTGTAATAACAATATATTTTTTATTCCCATATATGGACATGTATTATTCTTTTTAATATTTCATTTTATAACACACGAAATAAATTTCTATGTCTTGCCCTATTTTATACGTTATTATGGACGTACTATTGTTACCGACATACGAGTATATTTAAAACAGTCCAAACACAGCTCAAGCTAACGAGAAATCAAAAAAATACAGTTCAAACTTAAAGTCGCTGTTTAATTTTAGAGCCCATATCGAATGGTTCAAATAACAAAACATGAAACACTGAAGCAAAGTCTACCCTTTCCCAGCATGTACACCATGCTGCGTAGCATTTTAAATGCCATATTAATATTAATGTTCCTGTAGATGGTATTAATATATCACAGGTCGGGATTTTACGGCAGGTATTAATGAGGTTCTTAAAATAAAATACAAACAATATGATTCTGTTTCGTGGAAACTTAAAAACGTCCTAAAAAACTTAATAGGGGACATGTACAGGGTGTGACACGATTAATGCCTATTAGATGATAGCCCAAGTGATTTTAAAAGAAAAAACTTCCTTGGGAGACGAAAAATGCCACCAATAGTTTAGAATTCTAATCTGAACTATTTTAATGTCTTAATTTCAGTTGTTTTTCAGTTTCATTGCTCAAGTATTTTTATATTTAAATCCAATCCACACGATGAATTTTTTGTTATTTATTTATTTCGATTGAAGTTATACATTTATTGTCACAGAAATAATCTCTTGTTTTAATTACGTTCTTTCAAAAAAGTATCCGAAATTTGTTAATAAAACCACATATAAAACACAATTAATTATCAAAATTTACTTTGTCTCCTTCAAAACAGGCTCCATTTGGAGCAATGCACTTTTTCCAATAAACAACCCAGTCATCAAAGCACTTTTTAAACTCATATTCCATTCCGGTGTGGGCATCAACTCCTTGAGTGATTTTTGTATTATGGCTTCTATCGACTTGAAACGTATTCCACGAAGTGGTAATTCGAGTTTCAGAACAAGAAAAAAATCAGCAGGACCCATATCAGGCGAATACGATTGCTGCTCTACGACATTCGTCGAGTTTTTGGTCAATAATTCAGTCACAATTATCGCTTTGTGTGATGGTGCATTATAGTGGTGCAAAATCCAAGAATTGTCTTTCTATAAATTTGAGTTTTTACAGCGGATACGTTAAAAGACGACCAAAACGTAGTAAATCATCAATCATTTCTCGGCCATTTTTGAATGAGAAATTCCGGATACTTTATTCGCAGAACGTAGTTTAAAAAATTTAGATACTATAAATACTTTTTTCCTAATAGTTATTGAAATTACTTTGCTGTGCTGTAAATTAGCTTACTATAAAAAGGAAGAAAAGATTATTTGAATAACTAATCGGAACAACTTTATTTACACTTACCAACGTATTTTTTTTATCTCAACGTATCTGTTGCAGTGCCCTATGTGAATTCGGATGCATCAAAATGCCAGAAACTGGCATCGCTGGCAGCATTGGAAGACCATAAAACTGTCGTCGAGACCAGTCTACGATTACTAACGGGCACATGGATATCTGAAGGGTATGGTTGATTTATGGTTACTATCAAATTTATTTGCTGATATTGGAACGGGAAAGATAAGGGCCTGTTAGAAGTCACAATTATCAGACCCATCCTTTGGTCACAACCTTTTATCACACTCCTTTTAAAATCTGAAGTCGACAGTGTGTGTTTTCATTTTATTTGTAATTTAAAATATCCACATCTAATTTCAAATATGTTTATTCTAAGTGCATTCAGATAAATATTCATAGTGATGTCACTCATCAGAACATGGTTAAAGCCAACAGTTTTAAATATTCAGTGAATAAACTCAGCAGAGCCCCACAAACGTTGGAAACCGACAAATTTTCTACCTTATTCGAAGAACGGTCTGATTCGATTCTGATAAGACGTTCAGAAATATTACAATGAAGTCCTCGTCTAAGCATCATAAATATCTGTCAAGCAGTTCAGAATTTAAATCTTCACAATGGAGGGGCAGGTACATCCGAGGCAAGCACGACCCATATTTTAAAAACGGCAGGGGGTTGAATAAACATGCTGCAGTTAATCTAGTTGGCCGTGTGGACCTTCGTCCACGTAGGACCACCTGGAAAAAAAATGTAAATAAAAATAGAGAAACTAGATATGTGTTTGCGGGAAACTGCATACTTTAAGTAAAAAACATTATAGTAAAACACGCAAACTTGGTTTTATTAGCAAGTATCATGTTACTGCTGATTACATTGTGTTGATTTAAGTCAAACACGAGAAATTCCCAGAAATTCCAGTGAAATTGTCTTTTATATACTGCATAGGTACCATTTACTTTGTTGGTACCTATTTTGCAAAAATATTTGCAAGTAAGTCCATGTGAAATAACTCTAATGCCTCGCAGGCAGACATAAATTTGAACTCATTTTAAAATGACATAAAATCAAAATAGACGTAACTACGCTAAGGCTCACCAAACCCGAAACATTTAAATATATTTTCAATATACACACATGGGACCTTTAATGACTAGTAAAACAGGTCATAAACCGTGGTTTATTTTAATTGTCAGTTCTTATTATTTTAAGCATAAATTTAAAATAATATACACGCTGTCAAAAATAGCGCTATACGTTCATTATTTCCTTTCGCTTACGCCTTGGATATTTCGCATGAATACGTTGCGTAAATTACGTTATTTTTATCAGCGTCTGATAATATTGTTATAATTATGACTAGATAAACTAAATAACAAATACTGTGGAAATCGTTCCAGGTTTAAAGAGGAAAAGAAAATATATCTGCGCTATTTATTTATATCATTTGTGTTAATACAACAAACTTTAAATCTACTTTACACATTTGTGGAAACTTTATATTCTATATATAAATAATATATCAATTAGCCAAAACTTTTTTTAGCTGGTACTAACAGTCGTTTTATTACACTTCTTTAAAGAGTCCCAAATTCTTTTAAACGACCAACTAAGCTTCACAAAGCTGTTAGACGGTATTTCAATTCTGCTATAAAGATTCCATTGCATTCACACAAAAAAAAGTTAACGTTTTTAAACTATTTTTTATAACACCCTGTATTCATTTATTTACTAACTGCATATCTGAATAAGTTGTTTGAACTTACTACCCATTATTTGTAATTATAAAAAATATGTCCAACTGTTTTGATAAAAAAATTATAACAAGTTGACTTACTCCGTAAATAACAATCCACATAATCATAAAACCAACCAGTGTTAAGTACAAATGAAATAACTAACACTTGTTAATTATAATCTTTACAAAAAGACAAACATACATTTTTGTTTGCCGGCAAATAATTCAGCTACTTTTGTCTATTATGTTGTCTATTTTATAATGAATTAAAACAATAATATTTTTTAAGTGTAACTTACTACTGGTTTATCTTCAGGATTTTCGACCGATAATATACTGGTTTTATAAAGTGGGCGCCTGACTTAAATATGCACAAACAGGCAGTGGAAAGGAATGGGGAAAACCAATATTTGCACACTTTTTTATATCTTCGCAAATAAATAATGATAAGCTTTTCGTACTTGCAGACACGGATATTTTTCCAAAAATTTAATGAGATAAAATGGATTTAACAAAAATATCATTAAATAATCTTTAAATGGTACCTATATGTTACTTCCGAGAAAATTTTCAAGGTGTTATTACTGCCAAAACATAATTATACATTTTTATTGCTTTGCAGAATTCAATTGTTTTTAATACATTTGTGATTACGTGCCAAATTATAGACCGTCGAAAAAATGTAGGTACTTCCAGAATATTCAGTTCTTCAGATACAAAAATTTTTATTTTGATTTTGAGTATTATGGTCTTTGGGAATTTTTCAAAAACTGTTTAAACAATTTGGGTCTCTTGGAAAACACCTGGAAGTATTCTCTTTTGACTGTTTTAGTTGCACTAAATTCAAATCTTATGCGTCTGCTTTCCGCTAACTTTAAATATTGACGTAAAGGATGCATCCTAACTTCACTTCACACGATCCAATACACTCAGCAAATGTAAATACCGACAAGGGGACTTAATCTCCAGTTTGACTCCTTCTTCTGAAGAAGAGCGCGAGAGAGAGATCTAATGACGTAGCAACCAACCTAAAAATTGTTCAACCATTGAAACTACCACAAAAGGCAGCAAATCAAACAATAAATAGAACTAGAACCCAAAACTTTCGTATTTAAATAATAAATAAAGGGTGAACCCTTTAACTAACTACTGAGTTGTATCTCCTTTTTCTAAAAGTCTAATGAATTTGTTTCCTTGTGCTTATCCACTTTTTTGTTTCGAAGCATTGACATATTAATAATTTTACGGCCTACGTATGCACTTAAGGTTACATGTACAATGAAAAAGTACATTTTCAGCCTGTCTATCTAAACATCAGAGACGTGCAGGTCTGTAGGATATTTTTACTGCTATGTAGAGATTTACCACAAAATCTGAGATAACGAAGAATAATAAACCAAACTCAAGTCAAATAAAGGGGAAAAAAATCCGAATACAACATTCTTATGTAAATCCACGTTGGTTTTCGTCTCGCGGGCGGCCGGCGGAATCTTTTTTGCGAAGCGTTCGCATTGCTAAAACCGATGGTATTATTCTGTGCACGATAAGAATGTCCCTATTTGGAATCTGGTCGCCGAACAATGATGCTTGAAAATTTACTAGGGTCTCTCATCTTTTCGGAACAAGAAATAGTGATTTTTAATAAACCCGGTAATTGGTTTTTAAATGCCCTGTATAAATAAACTGTTTCTGATGCGCCCAAGAACTATTTTAGTTCAGCTTAAATTTCAGATTTGGCCATAAGAAAGAATAAAGTTGATGATGATTTTTCTAAGCCAAAAGTTTGAAATAAAAATTTGAATTCAGTCAAGTTTTCTATAAAATCTTGATAAAAAAGCTACAGTAGATCCACGAAATCACATTTGTTTTTTCTCCAAAGTGTCTCTAAAACTGAAAACGCTGTTTCTTCACCATTTTCCTGTCTCTTTTCGAGATGCTTCAATAAAAATTTTAACTATTGAGATTGCTGACATTATAGGAATATTTATTGTATCCAAAACTGATATTGTTTCAATAATAAACAACGAGTGTCAATTTTACGCACCAAGCATTCACTTATTACCACTGTAAATCAAAGTTCACAGAATTAATATATTGCACTACTTTAATTCTATTGTTAATTTATTACGCTTACAATGTTCTCAGTTATTAACACAGAATGTCTTTATGACATTGAAATTATCCTTACAACAATAGAAATTCATCTGAAATTTCATAGAAGTGGACTAATTGTAGCATTATTTATAAGAATTCTTAACAGGCATTGTGTCTTTTCCTCGTAGAATCACAGTGTTCCTTTCCTTTAAAAAAAAATTACTGAATATACTGAAATAATAAAAAAATCCGATTATTCCAAATGATCAATTTATTGAAATCAAATCAAAACTATAAATTAGAAATTATTGTATTCTCTTTTTTCTTCAAGTTGTGAAACACGACCAGGCTCAGAATTCGTCATACGTTCTTACACGTTCGACAGTGATGGACGATACTTTCTGATTCAGCACCACTATTGGGACGACTCATGTTCATCCCCCCAACTTACGGTGCTTTCCCATGGCCGTATTCAGTTGAGAAACTCTTTAATCCAACCTGGAGCAGCCAGCGGTATCATCAAGCTGACCAACATTACCATAATACCCCAAGATAACAATGCAGCCAAGGAGTTGGATAAGGTTGTCGCCATGGAATGTCCAGGTGAATATAAATATTCAAAAAATTCAAGTCACAACCGTTAATGTCAATCAAAAGCTTTTTTAGCCTGTTTCATAGGTTTCTGCAACCAATTTTTGCAAAAAATTAACTTTAATAAAATATATTCACGTCCATACTTCATGTAAACAGCATTGTTTGTTTACTAATAGTGATTGTCTTCATAAAAAAAATACTATAATTACTATTGATCATCAAATCTATTGTTTTAATTGTGTTGGAGCAGAAAAAATTTATCCTAAATGTCTTGCTATCAAGAAATTAGACTCACCCATTCGCCTATTTAAAATTCATTCCGTGGTTCCTGTAAATAAATTGAAAATGCGTAGACGCGTAATAGTTATTATGCATAAATTGTTTTTTCCAGGAAGTCGAGATATTATACCTAATCCTGGGTTGAGTACTTGAATTTGTATAAGTCTCTAAATATAATTTAAATTATAGTACTATTGTAGTGAATATCAGAATACGACTATGAATAATAATTATTGTTATATCACAATGTTTACTTCGGTACTTCTGTAAATCCACTGCTGATTATGTTTTAAGAACTATGCGACATAAACAAACACGTGATTGAAACCCAACTAAAACAATGCTAATTTTAGGTCAATATTGGAAATCCTGGCGCAGATATGAAGAGCACACTGTGTACGATAGTCGCTACGATGAGAAAAAGAAGATATATAACCTCTGGGCTTCAACTTACGAGCATTCAGTGAACACCAGGGGAAACGTCCATTTCAGCGACATCTCTTGCATGGGATCACTGAAATGGGCCTTCACTGAACTAAAACTGTTGAAAATACAACTCAGACCAATCTTAGAAGGGACTAAGAAGGCGTACAAACACATGAGGATGGAACTTCTGTTAGGAGACATCCATTCAAATTTCAGACTGAGGGAAATTTACAACCCCACAAGTTTCCAGGTTCCCCTAGTGAAACAAGCCAAAGACGAAACGATCTTCATCAATAGACACTCGTATTTAATCAAGAACTTGAACAACATCCCAATGAACATTTTCACGAATGGAAAAGCGCCCCCACACTTAATAGAAAAGCCTCACCTACCCCCTTACATTTGGGGCGAGTGGACGTCCACTCGTTGCGAAGTAAGGCCGATGGGACTATACCTTACTAGGAAGTTTTCCTTCTATTCAGAAGATTCCACATGGGTGGGAGAACACAGGTTCTTCTCCGACCCCTTCTGCAAAATCTCCAAGTTTGTCGTTACAGCAGCAGGACATTTTTCCCTGCAAGGTCCAAACAAGGAACTTAGAGGTTCTACTAATATAGACTTCCACATAGAGGAAGCCACTTTGGTTGTTTTGGAACAAAGGATGATCCACGAAATGAGACTGACAGGGTTGTGTGGTAAGGGTGAGTGGGAGGTTAATGTTCTTAAAGAATTGAGCACCACGAATGGTTGTCCTCAGTTAGGAATAACTCTTCCTTCAGAGCTGTATGATATCGTGAAGCTAGAAATGGACTACAAAGGTTCTTGTTTGCTCTTTCTGGGGCAAGTTGAGACTGATAATATGCATACCCCGTCCACTGGGAGGCCTTCTGCCTTTCAGTTGCCTCTGATTAAATGTGGAGAAGTCTCAAATTATTCCCAAGGTTTAAAAGATATTCTAACCAGTAGTATGTACTATAACAGCGCCAGTAATCACGAATTGAATTGTCTTATTGCAAAATGTTCATTTATAGTTGCCTTTATTGTGTTGTGTTTAAGTAGGTAAATTATTAAATTTGTTTTTATTTCTGTGTATATTGTAAATAGTTTTGTACAAAGGGACAAGATTACCAGTGATTCTAGTTGTATAGGAAGTTATATTTTTCTACAGAAAATATATTTTTTACATAAGCAGATTTTAATGATTTTTATTTAATAACGTATGTTTACGGTGTCGATTTCTATACTACCAATCTTATTTTATTTTAATATACTTAGTTGAGAAAGTAATCTGTGATATATGCGTATAAAACAATAATAAATGTCACTTATAATTTAAGTAAGAGATAATAAATAGTTCTATTTAGAGCATAAGGAAGACTATCATTGTTTAAAATATTTATTTTAAGTTTTGTCCATATCATGTGTTATAATTTCATAAAATAAAAGACAAATTTATAATAAAAATTTGTTATTTTAAAAGTTGTTTTTACTGTGAACATACACTAATGCAAACAATTAAAGGGTGGGTCAAAAGAATTTCCGAAATTTTTCCGTGAATTTTGGCAGACTGTATTTATGTGAAAAATGGTCGTATCGGGAATTACAAAAAGCATTTTGAAGCTGTAAAATTCTAGTTTTTAGATCTTTAGGCCGAAATTTTTTAAGAGCTACGGTTATCATGCAATTCTAAAAAATAGCACACCAAAAAAATTTGCCAAAATTTCTTTTTTTCTTTTCAAAAATCACCGAAAAATTTCAAAAAATTCTTTTGACCTTTTATTTTTTTGCATTAGTGTATTATTAACGCTTTCTGATTAAAAAATAACAAAAATTGTTTGATTTATAAAATATTTACAAACAGTTTTGAAGTAGCTACCTTTTCAAAAATCTTCTCTTGAAAAGTAATTTTGACAAATTCGAAAATGAACTTGTTTATGTCGCCAATAATTAAATACATATGTATTATTAAAATTCAAAAAATGTACACATATAATTTCTTAATCCTTAACTATGCAAATTATACGATTTGTTTAAAAACCATTGCAGAAATGTTAAACCATATGCTTTACACACTTATTTAAGTTTACTCTAAAATTTCGTACAAAATTTTAGAGAAATTTTCAATATTATGAGATCGGTACAATTTTGTTTAGTGATTTCTGTATGTAACGAAATATTTAAAAAGATTAAATTTATTCTTTGAAAAAAGTTTACCATATGTAAAGTCATGTAGATTCGACAACGTCACGAAAATTATAAAAATAGACAACCTTGATTGTTGTGGCAGCGTCAAAAATGGGCAGGTGTTTGCCTAAGCTTAGGGTGCATTGTAATGTATATTTGTCTTCTGTAAATAGAAGTATTTATACGTATACTAGAGATAATATTTCGATCATCAGAAGTTACCTAAAATGTAATTACTTATGGAAGAAAATCTTCAGTAATGAAATAAACTTCCCTCAATTGTCCTTTTTAATAGACAAATTTTGTGCAAACCTCATCTTTATTTTGGTTAATTCAAATTATTTCTACTACTTACTGAGTATTACAAATATGGGTACAATAACAGAGTCCTCACAAGCGGTATATATTTTCTTGTTCCAATATCTGAACTATTATTAAGTGGAGAGTAATTGCTCATCAACTGTCAACCTCATTGTTTATATACTCTTTACTGAATTGAATTCCGGCGTTTATAGAAGTATTATTTGCCATTATTATCACTTTATTCCGTTTGTGTTGTTCTGCCGTGCTAAAATAGGTAGGTTTTTTGTGCACCAGTGTCCATTTTCACAGTTGCTGCATATTCAATTAGTCAATGAAAATTTGATTCGTTTCATCGAACAGAATAAGAGTAAGTTATATTTATACTGAATCAAAAATAAAATAAAAGTATAGAACCAAACCCAACTTCAACTTCTTTAGATGGAATACACTAGTAATGGCCAAAAGAGTATGCCATATATAACAATGGAGAAAGATTTGATCACATATTTGCTGATCATATCCTGCTTCTACTGTTTAAGTCATAATAATTTGACCTGATTATAGTCACACCTTTGCATAAGTTTGTAGTGATTATTCCTAAGAAAGTACTCTGTCGAACATACAGAAAGTTCTGTTTAAAAATGTTGAAATTGGGTTACTATAATAACTTTAACAAAAGCTCCTGTATAATTTCTTTCTATATTTTTTTTTATAAAAATAAACCCTCTACTGAGGTAGCAAAACATAAATGGAAACCTTGTGCCATGTACTCTTTTGGGATCAAAAATATCACATAAGTTACATTATTTATTAAATAATTCTTTACTTAAAGACAGGGTCTGTGGTAACATAATTTTTTCGTTGTTTCGAATAATCCTCAATCTACGTCATATAATTTCTATTTATTTTGCTGGTGTCTTTACCAGCAGCTACGTAATAAGAATATGATTTATAGGTGCGACACATTTAGTTATCTTGTATGAATAGTTTTAACAATGAACCTTAATCCGAAAAATAACAAGAACTCCTTGGAAATTTCCATGCATCCCTATACATTCAAAACTGAATAGTCTTCACTCAGTCTGGTTTGAACCGGGAATGTAGCCAGACCGACGATCCTTTCTCTAAAACTAAACAGCAACTTAAGGTGAATATTTCCTTCATCCGCAACAACCATTCATCAATTATCAATGTTTCCTTCTACCAATTTTTCTTTGTTTCTGATAATTTCAGATGGTTAATTCCACTACACTATCGTCCTTGTTGGAGGCAGCAACCACTGCATTGCCAAGTAAAGAGAAGCCTCACTTGCTTTTCTCTTGGTACGACTATGGACTATTTAGCACGATGTTGGCTATAAGTGGGCTAATTGGGATTTACTTTGGCTGTTGCGGTAAGAAGCAGAATACCACGAAAGAATACTTGATGGGAGGGAAGAAAATGAAGGTTATTCCCATCGCTATCTCTCTAGTAGCCAGGTAGTACTGTTGCATCTACCACTTAATTACGTTTTTGCCACATGTATTATTGTTCTATTATTAAATTTTAATGCATTCATTTAAGTAGTACGTACTTTCTCCAACTTTATATATGTATGTTAGATACATCAGATTCCTTGACAAGATTTTTTACATGTTTTTCTCAGTCATACATCAGGAATAACTCTTCTGGCCTTACCCGCTGATGTTTATGTGTTCGGAGCAACCTACTGGCTGGGTTCCATCTCTATGATGATTTTATCTGTAATAACTGTGTACGTGTATCTTCCTGTTTTCTACAATCTGCACCTAACAAGCACGTACGAATACCTGGGAAGAAGATTCGACGATAAGACGAGAAAATGCGCCTCTTTCCTCTTCGCATTAGCCTTATTTGTGTACTTGCCGATAGTTATTTACATACCAGCTTTAGCGTTCTCTGCAGGTAAGAGCAATGCAAACAACAGAGATCTTGTTTTGACAAATAAGCTTTGTTAAATTCTTGAAAGATTTATGACTTTATCACATTAATTTTTCATGATTTTATATTGCTTCTTTGAACAGTTATGCAACAAATTAAACAAACTGTTAAATTTCTTTCTTTTATCAACGTTTATTTTTATCATTAATGAAAATATTCATCTTCTCTAGCCACTGGTGTCGATGTTCATGTAATAACACCAATCGTATGCAGTGTGTGCATCTTTTACACAACACTTGGAGGACTAAAAGCTTTGGTATGGTCGGATACTCTCCAATTTTCTATAACTGTTGGGGCAATGACGACTATATTCATCCTCGGAGTAAACGCTACTGGTGGATTTGCAAATATGTGGCAGAAGTCTGTTGAAAGCGAACGCTTGGATATCTTTGAGTAAGTATGGATCAAATGTTGAACTGCAGTATTCAATAAAACATGTAGTCAATACACACAACACCTAGAGTTTAACAGTGAGATAAAAAAATTGGGTTAAGTGTAAATAAGAATTTTTTAAGTTATTATTTCATTCGACTTGTTCTATATTGTCTAGGATCACAATGTGGTGAAAATATTTCTATAATTTTTAGTTTCGATTTTGACTTTACAAAGAGAGAATCTTTTTGGGCTGTGACAGTTGGATTGACTATACACTGGGTGTCACATACCAGTATCAATCAAGGTTGTACTCAAAAATTCCTCTCTGTAGCTACTTTGGAAGAATCTAAACGGTAAGTATGACCAATCAATCAATATCTACTTATTTTATTACTTTCAAGGACATATTTAATTCTGATTTAGATCCGTTATATATTACTGTTTTGGAATGGTAATTATGAAGACCTTGAGCGTTTTGTGCGGTCTTGCAATGTACGCCAAATATTCCGACTGTGATCCCTTCACCTCTAAACATGTAAGCAGGAACGATCAGCTTCTTCCCTACTACGTAATGGACGTAGCAGGAAGTATTCCAGGACTGTCTGGGTTGTTCATTGCCGGGATTTTCAGCGCTGCCCTAAGGTGAGAAAATCCTCAAGCTAATTTATTCCCAATAAATATACTCTTTCTCTCTTTATTTGTAGTACGTTGTCAGCTAACTTAAATTGCTTAGCTGGTACCATATACGAGGATTTCCTCAAGGCGAGGCTGGAAAGGAAAGGTCCTCACAAAAACGCTGGGTACATCTTGAAGTTAATCGTTGTAATAACTGGAGTTGTCAGCACTGCTATGGTCTACGTTGTAGAAAATCTTGGGGGACTGCTTGCTATTTCCATTGGGTTGGGAAGTGTGGCACATGGGCCGCTTCTGGGCATGTTCACCCTTGGAGTTCTATTCCCAAGAGCCAACTCGAAAGCAAGTAGTAGCAATTAGCTTATTTGCATTTTTGTTTATTTATTCAATTGATGTGTTAATTTTCTCCAAAAGTATTAAGGAAAAACACAACAGCAGAGAAACTAGAGTTTTTTTCATGTTTTAGGGTGCTTTCTATGGAGGTTTAAGCAGTATGTTTTGCATGGGAACTGTAATCACTGTTGCCAACTACTATAAGTCCCAGAAATTACTAAAATACCCAACAAAACCCGTTTCTATAGATGGCTGTGACTTCAGTGTCAATTCAACCATCACCTCAGCATTTAACTCGACAGTTTCGTGAGTAATGTATTTACCAATTTCATTTCGGTTTTGAACTGGGACACTTGAATGATCTGCAGAAATTATAATTGATATTTCTATATTCCTTCAACTATTAGGTGTAGGATTCTTATCATTTGTTATTTCAGATCTGCTGGTACTGGTTCCGATATATTTCCTATCTTCAGAATATCATTCTACTGGTATACCATGTTTGGAGCCATCATAGGAATAACTGTTGGTATGATCATAAGTTACCTGACAGAGAGAAACGACCCACCCGTACCTATGGAACTTTTAAGTCCCGTTACATATCCTTTCTTACCAGAGGAGAACAAGAGTACTAATCAAAACTACTACACCGTGAATGTTGCTCTGGAAAAAGTTTCAACGGATAAGGGAAGAAAGTCTTTGAAAATTGAAGAGAATGAGGAGAGACTTCGAAAAGCGTCATACGTCTCTGAAACCTTCGATGATTGAAAAAGTTCTCTGCAACTTAGTTGCACCCTTACATTGGGATAGAGTGATATATTTTGTAGTAAATTATTTTTAAAGTGTTAAATAAAGTAATTTAGTTCCACAGTTGTTTCATTAAGGGTATTCAATTATTTCTAACGACTTGGAATCAATTACGGATTGCAATGGAACAAACCTATAACTTCACTATCTATATTTATGTGTATTACTGGTTGTATGTATGTAGATTTAGACAAACCATACTGTTTATTCATTGCCAAAGAAATGTAAACAAATGCGTGAATTTTCTCTCTAACATTTTAACTGTAATCAGATATATTATAAATAAAAAAATATTTATGCTTTTAGTATCATACCGTTCAGTAACAAACATTTAAATTTTGTAAGACGACTTTAAAATTATCATAAAAATATTTTAAGCATTTAACAGCAAACATTTTATTTTTAATAACTTTTCATTATTGTTGGGTTAAGTGTTGACAACACCGCAAGTGTATTTGATCAGTTGATCGGTTTGACCCCGATATAAATATATTTCTACTCGTTACTCTCAGTATACAAGTAACTGTGCAACGGTGGACAGTACAAAATGGGAGATAGCGGTAAGTACGTGAAACGGGTTGATAGGTGTTTTGATTTGAAATAAATTATATAAATATTCAAAAAAGTTCTGTGTTATTCAGAAAAATTCAATGAATTTTGCACGCGATAAATTATTGTATTCTTAAACCTAACTTATTAATATTAAGTACAAATCGAAATGGTTTCTATTTATTTCTATAAACTTAGATATCTATTAAAATAAATATTGACGATTTCAATAATTAGAATGTATTGTAGCCCAATGAACACAACGTTCTACAGTTCTTTTGGGAAATACAATCATCTCTGTGTGTATTTACTGAACTTCTAGATGTACCTGCTACATTAAATATGATGATTCAATTGTTGAAGCATGAGTAGTTTACTGCGATTTTTTTATGCGAATGTTCCAAAATTGACTAGGAACTTTTTATCAAAATTTTTACTAACAATAAGTAACCTTAACATGTCATCAATTTGTGATACAGATTTTTTCTATATAGATACAAATTTTAACACTAATAAAAAAATTGGACTGCATTATATTTTGCTGAAACTTGAGAAGTTTGAAGTGAAGCTGATTAAAGCTAAGTAGCTAGATTTCTATAAAAGAGAATAATTAAAGTGATTTCCCCAAAAACGTTTTCAAATAAAATTATTGGATTATGAACTGGATTGCTTTGATACAAGTACATTTGGAATGGTAATGACTAAAAAAAATATTGGAATTCTTCATAATCATCAGTACATATTTATATAAACGCCCAGTATTATGTTATCGTAATTAATTATTACACCTAAAAAGTTATTAATTCGGATCTTTCAAAATGCTAGTAATTTACTAATAAATATTTCATTCTTTAGGTCCAGGTTATGCAAGCCCTTTGGATGCCATGAAGGGCCCTAGAGAGGAAATTTTGTATGTAACTTGCGTACAACCTAACCAAGGCAAAGGAAAAACTGATCTTTTAGCAACTGTTGACGTTAACCCGGAATCACCAACATATTGTCAAGTCAGTATATTTAACATTTGTTAGCAATATAGAAGTGTTTATTAAAAAATAATACTATGGTATCAATCTTATGACTACCTACATATTTAGTTGCAACAAATTAATATTACTCAATCTTCGAATTTAAAAATGAAGAGATTAAAATTTGTTTATTTTTTAGATAATTCATCGATTGAGAACTGGAAATGAAGATGATGAACTGCACCATAGCGGGTGGAACATATGTTCTAGCTGCTATGCACCCAAAGGGTGCTGCAATGTGCAGAAAAGGGACAAACTTGTTCTGCCAGCCCTTGGATCTGATAGAATTTATATCGTAGAAACGGGGAAAAATCCTAGGGCACCTGAAATACACAAGGTACACTATTGATTACAAAAACTTTTAGTGTTTTGAGAGATAAAAACAGCTATTTAGGCAAAATAAATCTAACAATCAGTTGACCTATCCACTTTAAAATATCATATTACTTAAATCCATTTTTGCGAAATAACTAAAACAATTACTAAACATATAATTGAAACTGAAAGTCATTGTGTTGCTACCCACTAACTTATATAAAAGCAAGCACTTTATTGTTAACTTTAACTTCTCTTTAATCTTTGTTTCGATTCATCGTCGCCGTCGTTTAAACCAATTTATGTCACATTAAATAATAATTAATATAGTAACATCTGTATGTGAAAACATTTTAAAACTCTTTTATATATTTGAAGGTAATAGATTCATCAGAATTGGTGAATCTGGATTGTCGCACTCCTCATACGACTCACTGCTTAGCAAGCGGTGAAATAATGATTTCTGTCATGGGAGACAAAGAAGACAACGGCAAAAGCGATTACATTTTAATAGATGGAAAAACATATAAAACGAAAGGTAATATTTATTTCTGAGAATTGCTTAAACTACACAACATTACAATTAACATGTAGGTTGTTCTAATCAAATAAAGAAAACATCCTGACCTAATTTGACTCCAATAATACCTGCATTAAAAGATTTACAAAACTTCAGTAACTATTATGCTCAACTCAGTAGAATGGTAGACCACTATTAATAGCGATATACTACTTTATTTTAATTTATTACCTTTAAACCGCTTCTAGATATTGATTCAACTCATGACGTTTTATAATACTTTTATTTATTGTTATTAATTGTTACTGATCTTCAACATGTAAAAGGAACATGGGTTCAGGGAAAATCGGCCAATTTCAACTATGATTTCTGGTACCAGCCTTATTTTGACATTATGGTGTCTTCGGAATGGGGTGCTCCAAGGGTTTTCAAGACCGGTTTCAAACCTGAACACACGAAAGACCCAAATGCGTACGGACAAAATATAAATTTTTACTCGTGGAGTAAACGTGAGCTCATCCAAACTATTGACCTGGGGGAAGACGGACTGGCACCACTAGAGATCCGTTTTCTACACAATCCCAAAGAGAGTCAGGGATACGTAGGATGCTCAGTAAATGCAAACGTATTCAGGTAAATATGATAAAATCTTTATTTGAGTATAACGACCATTATACCATAATTTTGATTGTAAAAGCTAATATGAAGGATTTATTTTTATTTTGTTCAGAACGAAAGAGTTCCAAGAAATATCACCCAAGAACTTACATTACAGAAAAGAAAAGAAAAATTTAATTACCTACGTAGTGGTTTTCCTTGTTCCACATACAGATTTGTTTTCGGGATGTTTTTTATTCTTCTTTGCGTTTTATTTATTTTACTTTTCTTTGTTCCTCTTTGCTTTGTTGTATATTCTCCATATGTTGCTTCTGTTCCAAATGGTTTCAGCTTCTCATAGCTTCTTCCGAGCTGGTCGAAATTGAAGAAGTTATAAATGATTGAGTTTTGCTGATATAAACCCATTGGGTTATTGTTCGCATTTGAAATATTTTATCCATAATTAAAATATAAATTACTAACATTTCCAGATTTTATCTGAAACCTGATGGCACTTGGGCAGCGGACAAAGTAATTGACATCCCGCCGAAAAAGGTGTCCGGTTGGATCGGGGATTATATTCAAGGTGTAAACTTTGTTTAAATTGTTACGGAAATTATAACTAATTTGTGGAAATTTGTAGGAATGATAACTGATATTCTTTTGTCAATGGACGACAAATATCTCTATTTGTCAAATTGGCTTCATGGAGATGTAAGACAATACGACATTACAGACAGAGCTCATCCAAAACTTACAGGTAAATCGCCAACGTGTTACCTCGATCCCAACCAAGTTATTGGTTATTCCATTCAATTCATAAATAAAGACAAAGACAAAATTTAGAAAGAAAAATCTATGTTGCAATACTCTAGCTAGAAGAACTTAACTCTATAATATTTTACGTATTGACATTTTAATGGAGCATATACAAGTTAGATTCATTTTATGACAATTTAGACGCTATAGGAAAAATACAATTTCAGGTCAGGTTTTCGTCGGAGGTAAACTCTTCAGCGATCCCAGCATAAAAATTTTGGACGACCCAGAACATACGAAACCTCCAAAGCCAATCTATATAAAGGGAAAGAGATTCTACGGATCAACGCAGATGCTTCAACTGTCTCTAGACGGCAAGAGACTCTACCTCAGTAACAGCTTATTTTCACCTTGGGATAAACAATTTTATCCTGAGATGGTTGAAAAGGGAGGAAGTATTTTAAAAGTGAACATTGACACAGAGAACGGTGGAATGAAACTGGATGAGAGTTTCTTGGTAGATTTCGGGGAAGGCCCAGACGGGCCTCTGCTACCACATGAAATGAGGTAAATATCGAAAATGAAACTTTCCACTTTTATTTTGCTCTAAAAGTTGTTAGTCAAATATTTTTCTAAAACTCTCATCAAGTAAGTCCTGATCAGGTATTACATCCCCAATATCTAGTAAATATGTTATATGTATGTCACCGTTAATTCATAATAAATAATCTATCCAAATAATACTAATGAAACACATACCTGAACATATCTCTTTTTGGTAGTGCTGGTGTTAAAGAGCTTATATGATTTCATCTGGTGATAATTCTAGCAACGTCTTTAAAATTGATGTAAATTAACGTAATACATTTTGAAGTAAAAGCTGCTTTAAAGTTAGCATTTGATTTTTAACTGAAAATTCTATTTTTCTAGGTATCCAGGTGGAGACTGTACATCGGATATTTGGCTAGCAGGAGAATAACAACTTATTCATCAATATTATTCTCATTTGTATTGTTTTTTTTAATTTCTATTCATTTTTTTAAATAAACCCATAGCATTTTACAATTTTCTTCTGTAAGATAATGAAAATTTTATTAAAATAAAATTTTAAAGGAACCTAAATAATATGTTATAAGGTTGCAGTTATCAATTCTAGAAATTTACGTTTGCATGGATGGTACAAGCATATTTTTTGTTTATTTTCGTTAAATCATCTTGGTGCTTTGAAAATCTCACATTCAGTTTATATCAAGGTATTAATGAAGGAAAGTATCACTTAAGCGTCTGTTTCAAGTTATCACTGAAAATGAAAATCTTTCCATACTTTCATGCTTTAAGATACTTCAAGAACTTAATTTAACATAAATAATAAACAATTGGATCAAAAGAACAACTGTTTGAAAGAAAAGAAAACCAAATAAGGTTATTCATTGTTTCTCTTCAGGTACAGTTCTAAAAACAATGAGAAATGCAAAACTACTAAAGTATGAAAGTTGAAGAAACGGAAATAGAAGGTGAAAAGACATAAAACATTTAGATGTCCTTTGCTTTCGAATCATTGATGTTTAAAAATTTTTCTGTAACATCGTTGTATTCCTTCGCGTTTTTGCACCCAATGCACAAACGTGTTATCAATGAAAAAAACTAAATTGCAAATTGATAAATGTAATCTAATTGTTTAAAAATAAAAAAAAAGAGTGTTAAAATTTACTGTGGCCGTCCTAATCAACCGATTTCAATTTTTTAAAAACCATTTGAAACCTTGAGCAGTCTTTCCTATGTGAAAGAATTTTCAAGTATCTGGATCTGGATGAAAATTTTTTTTCAAAATTTCTTTCAAAAAATTATTTCGCGAAAACTATAGAACCGATTTTAATGAAATTCGTTGTGTTGTTTTATTATAAGTAGATAAACTATGCCGATTCAAACTCAATTTGCATAATTTTGGGTTGAAA